TTTATCACTTATTAATTACTTAATTTTTCAAAAACGTCTTAAAACACCAATATAACGGGGTTTGGTGATAAGACAAGTTTGTCTTCTTCTTGCTCCGAGCAGGATTTTGTATTATTGTAATTTCTTTTTAGTAATTTTTAACCAACTGCATATAGGAAAAAGAAAAAAAAAATTGTTATATCAGATTCCTTCTTCTTTTCAAGTTATTCTAGCTTTAAGAAACCTTTCTTTGACCTCCAAAAGCTGATCATCACTGAAATGCAAAAAACGAAAAATGAAAGTAATTTGACCGCTGTGAGAAGAATCGGGAGTGCTATCCGTGATGATGATCAAATATATTGATATTTTAATTTCTCAAATAACTTCTCGAACCACTAATTTGTCGCACTCCTTGATATACTCATTCTGTGATTTCCAGGATAAGTAATGAGCTTGCCTTTTCTTCTTCTTGGTGCTTAGCAATTAGATGCATATGATCTTGTAATGTTTTATTGTGGCGAGCAATTAATTCGTGCCGTCCAAGAAGTTTTCATTCCCATTTTTGAACAGCATTTGATTGGATCCTAATTGCAAGCAAAAAATAATCAAAATAGTAATCCATATTTATATCCAATTATCACTTATAATTTTTATTTATAAATTTTAAATAAAAAAAAAATAACAAAAAAATACAATTTGAAATTTAAAAACAATATATCTACAATTTATCTACATTATATCTAAGCTAAATTTCTTGAAGCTAGAAAAGTTGTGACGTCAAAAATTCAGTATAAAATTACTTTCCATCGCTTTGTTTATCTCCAACTTTGTTTCATTACCAAAATAACTTTTACATACCGTTAAATAAGAAAAAAAAATTTCAGCGCTTTTTACTCCATTATGCAAACAAACGGCCAATAAAAACGCGTGCATTTAAATGGCAAATAAAAACCTTGTAAAGTAATTATTGTCCTATTTTAAATGCACACAAAGTTTAAAAGAAGAACAAAATTAATACAAAAAAATTGCTTAAGCTCTAAATACTTTATCAGCTAAATTTTTTATCATTAGAGTTGTTGTTGTTTTTTTACGGCATATGCGATGCCCCATAAACTGTAATGGTCGAGACAAACTACTTAAAGCGATATTGGTACGGAAGGAGGCGTAAACTTCCTGTTAAATGCTCTCCCGCGGTGCTCTGTGATAAGACCGTAAGAACCTCTGGGAGCACCTAAATAACTACAAAAAAAAACAAAAAAAAAACCTATAATTTCAAAAATATATGATCAATCCAATTTCTTAAAATAAATTGACTACACATAAAATTTGAAATTTAAAATAATATATCTACCCCTAAAAGCTAAATTTCTTGAAGCTAGAAAAATTGTGACGTCAAAAATGCAGTATAAAATTACTTTCCATCGCTTTGTTTATATCCAATTTTGTTTTATTACCAAAAGGGGTAAATATATTGTTTTTAAATTTCAAATGGATATAAATATCAAGCTAAAACGCTAAAACGTTAGTGATTTGCTGAAACGCTAAAACAAGCTAAAACGCTGTCAAACGTTAGTGATTTGCTGTTAAAATCCAACTAATAACTTTACTTACTGCAAACCACACTTCCTTTCATTTCTGTTTTTTCCTTGCCTTTGGCTAGGAATCACCAACAATATATTAAAACTTTGTAAAATAAATAAAGAAAATAAACTGTTAAAGATTTTTTATGCTATTTTACTAAATAGAAACTTTATGAAAGGTATTTATAAAATGTTTTTTCACCACTTTTATGGCGGACTTAACTTTATATTTTGCAAAATTACCTCGGATTTAATGAAATTCACTTTTTTCGTCTGATAAATTATGAGGCACATCCTGAACATGCCCGTAAATGAAAAATTATAAAATTATAAAGATTTATAAGCTATAATGAGCTCTGTGTAAAGCTTCTTTGTGAGTTAATAAGGATATTGTATACGTCACCCTATGTAATGTAGAGCATCATTAAATCGTCTTTCTTTCAATTTTCAAGTACGTAGTTTCAGGAAGTAGAATTACACTTGACAACGTTAATTTCTTTTGTATGCATCTTTATTGTTTTCTTTTAACATTGAGAAATACTCAAATCTACTTTTCATTTCCTTCTGCGTGCTTTTTTTCTATCCTACCAGTGTCCTTCGCTTATGTAAAATTGTAAACGCGCTACGTCATTTCGGAATTCATCTGTAATTCTCATGGAACTTTTTAAAAAGACAATAAAATTCAAAGAACTGAGCACTGTAACCAAAAAAAACTCTGACTAATCATAGACCGCTAGTGTGACATTTTTAAAAATAGCCGCGATAACCATCAACAGCCATTCTTAAACACCTAATATTACAATTATGCCACTTCCCATGTACTCTGTCAAAAAATATATATTTCTTTTATATTTGTTTTCCAATATTGTTCTTTTACCTTAACAATAAATACTCCATCCGTTTTTTCCTTTTCTACGCTAAAGGCAAATTGCTTGTTATTTATATATACATTGGTATTTATTTTGCTTTTAACAATTCTTTGTAAAACCTTCATTCTTGGTCAAGCAATTTTATTCCTCAAAATGAACCTTATTCTATAGGAACCATATTTTGTTTTCGTCTCCCTTAAATATCTTGACCATACAACTTTATTAAAATCATTAATCAATTTAATAATAACCTAATTCTTAATTAATCAGGCTCTTACTTAAATAAAATTATCTATGAGAATTATCTACATTAGTAGCAACTTAAAGTTACTAACTAGTTAATGTTACTCATCAATAAGTTGGATATAAATTTCTTAGCTTTGCTATAAAAATCACTCGTTTAAGATGAGTTTCCACTCATCCGTTTTTTTACGGGAACGGGATAGGAAAGGGAAAAATAATCACGTGAGCATGCGTAGTTTTACTTCGGACAAATTAAAACTTATAATACGCATGCCAACGTGATTATTTTCCGCTTCCCTTTCCCGTTCCCGTGAAAAAACAGATGAGTGGAAACTCACCTCAAACGAGTGGTTTTTATATCAAAGCTAAGAAATTTTTCTATATTTATTTTCATGTCATTTCTTAAAAGTATTGAATTCTGAAGCATAAAATTATCACTTTGTGTTGCAAATGTAATTTTTAAACTAACAAGATTATATAACAACCTTTTTAGTGTATTTGCAAAAGCTATGATTGCAGAGTCTAGCGGGATGCGTTTTAGCAATTTTTCCATGATTTTTGTAAGAAATAAAACATTAATTTCTAAATTGTTTTATATCATTAATAATGATATTACCTTTAATAAAGAGTTCTTTAATTGAAACATCTGCCGCAAAACGAATAATAGCACCTTTCCTAATTAGCAAATTCTCTTTTTTATAGAGACTTTTTTTAAGTCACTACCTTTTCCAGCTTTCAATTACTGAAGGTTTAATAAATAGAGATAAAATATTTGTTATCAATTCTCTAAGATCATTGTACATGATTGGAACCATCGATTGATCAGTCTGATAGTGTTAAATAGGTTTTGAACAAGCTAACAACATAACTGAAAAATTGTAACTTTGAAACTGTCAGAAGTCATTTGATGCTTTTTGAACATTCAAAAAATGTTTTAAGGAAAGCTGATTAGACTTTGATAATTTTTCCCAAAATCTAATTATTTTACAATGTTGTCCCAAATTTCAAATTAACGATCTGCAATAATTTGGTCTTAAATCCATATTGTTGAACAGAAACTTAATGGATACCGATTTGACCCAGCTCCACTGTTATAGTCATCCCACCTAGCCGGAGTATCATGCAATATTTGGTATGCTCCCTTAAGAATACTTTTTAGATTCCATGATGTAGACCGAATTTAAAAGCCTCGTGTATTACATCCAAACTACAATTGTCAATGTCAAGTAAAGAATTTAATTCACACTTATTTCGGTATATGGAAAGTTCTTCAAACAATTTATAATTTGTACTAGGTTCACCCATAGATACTTGAATAATTTTTGAAAAATTGAGACTTTCTAATTCTTTATTCAAATTTTTTAGAATATGCACTGCAGAAGAATGGCCAAGAAAAAATGAATTCAAATATCGCACATTAACCTCGTTCTCTGCATTATTCAAAAATCTAACAACAATATACATTTGACAATTTTGTGTAACTTTGTTCAGACTTTAATCAATGAGACAACATAACAAGGCGAACATTTGAAACTTTCAAGAAGTAATGATTTAAAATACGGCTCATATTTAACCATACATCTAAGTTTTGTTTTTCCTAATGTTAATGTTACAAACTTATTATCTGGAAAAATATTAGCAAATAATTCTCTCATATTAGCAGATGCAATGTTTGACAATCCATTCAAAACAGTTGCAAGAACCCATTTAATTTCAGACCTCGTTTCTTCATTGGAAGTACAACAAGTTCTCAAGGATTTTGACCGACTGCCAGGGGTAGCCTTGGTGTATTAGTAGAATGTTTTACAACAGGTTTGAAAAAGTGAATTTTGGATTTAGCTAAAGTATTAACTTGGTGCTTTTTCCCTTCATTATGACTTTTAACTGCCTGAACTCTCATGTATGACAAATTAAGAGTTTTACAACAACTAGTACATGTAGCAGCTTTATTTTTGTCAGTCTTAACAACCCATTCTATATATTCTGGTTGATTAAGCCAATCATTTGAAAAAAATGTTAAACTCATTTTAATTACTATTAACTCTAACAAAAATGTAGAAGCTAAAAAAGGATTCAAAAAAATTTTAATTGTATTTATTATCTTTTCTAATAACTATTATTATTATTTACATCAACATATCACATTTGAATAAATGTTTTCGAATTTTTTTCTTTAGGTTATTATTCTGTATAAAAAGCGTTATGATTTTACAATAAAAAAAAATAAAATAAAAATATACATATATATATATATATATATATATATATATATATATATATATATATATATATATATATATATATATATATATATATATATATATATATATATAAATATATATACACACATATACACTGGCGTAGGAACAGGCTCGCCAACTTTTGGAGAATTTTTGTTTTTTCTATTCAAATTTTGATTCTGTCTGCCTGAACCCCACTCACTTGGTTTCGTTTGTGCGTAAAAAGAATTGTATGGAAAGCAAATTTTCTGTTGATCCATATGAAATGTAATAAGATAAAGTTGGAGACACATATTCGTTGCAACTAGTAGTCCACCATTTACTGCAATTTTTGAATGTTGTGCCATTGGCGTTGAGTCGATCTGGTTCAAGCGCTAAATATCCAAAAGAAAAATAAGTGGGTTCAAAAAAATGTTTTCAAAAAATAATCCCGCAAAAAAAAGTCATTCCGAAAAGACTTCCCTCAAAGAAATCACCTGAGAACCCCCTAAACATTTTCCTACCCGGAAAAAAAGCGGAATATATATATGTATATATATATATATATATATATATATATATATATATATATATATATATATATATATATATATATATATATATATACATATATACATATATACATATATATATATATATATATATATATATATATATATATATATATATATATATATATATATATATATATATATATATATATATATATATATATAAAAAAGGTTTTTATTACTTCATATTGCGCCTAACTATTTTTTTTTAAAGTTACTCGAGAAAACAGAGGTCAATCAATGAATCACCATACTAAATCAAAACCATGCAGATTTTGACACAACATGATACAATAGTCATAGCATCCTAAAATTTTATGTGCAAGCTTCATAAGGATATAGATGTCAGATTTAAATTATACATCTGTGTATCTTCAGGCAAACCCCCCTCCTTTAGGGCAGCGCCACACCTTGAATTTATAACAGTGCTGTCAACTCAATGTTAATCCCATGCATAATTAAAATGTAAATTATCTTGCTACAGTAGTATTTTTCAATTTTGGGGTGGATTACACATCCTCTAAACACCTCTCCCCCCCACTCCCTCATGCCCACCCAATAATTAAAACTGTTTACAAGAAGGCTGCTGAACAACATACAACAGCAGAAAAACTTAATCTCATAAAAAAGAAAAAGGTTTTTAACAAAATAGAAGTTTCGTTTCCCAGCAACAGTGAACTTGATAGCAGTATTGATATTGAATAAGAGAATGATGTTCTTGGTAATTAGTAGGTTTTTTCATTAAATAAATATTTTTTTAAAAACGTTTCATATATATGCTGAAAGTACGCAGAAAGAAAAAAAGAGAATATAAAAATTCCTCCCTCTTTCTAGATAAATAAGAATGGGAAAGTCTACAGCCCTCACCCCTCCTCCACCTAATAGTTTGTGTTTATTTTTCTAAGCATTTTATATTTTATTACTAAATTCCATTGAGTACGTTATTACTACTGAGAATTATTACTAAGTGGGAGAGATATATCTGTGTATCTCTTCCCCGAGATACACAGATATATATTTCAAACAGGACATTTATATCTTTAAGGAACTTGCACACACAATTTTAGGTTGCTATAAGTGTTGTATCATAATGGATCAAAACCTGTAAGGCTTAAGTGATTCATTGATCTCTGTTTTCCCGTAAAACCTTAAGAAAATACTTTGGCGCAATATGAAGCAATAGAAAGCTTGATTTTTTCTACACATCATCTATACATGGTCAAATATAAAACATGTCATATACATGAGTATGTTAAATATATATATATATATATATATATATATATATATATATATATATATATATATATATATATATATATATATATATATATATATATATATATATATATTAAATTTTAGTTTCCTTAAAGTGTACAGAGTTCAGATTGTTGTAATGATCATTTCTAACTTATTTTCTTATTTGCACAACACGCACACGTCTTGTGTAATCGTTTAAAAACTTAATATAGCATGTTAGCATTAGATCAAGACAGAAAATATTGCATTTATGATGGACTAATTAAGAAAAAAAAAAGCTAGAATAGATGGAATAGACACAAGGTACCTTTCCTCTGATAACAGAAGTTTAACAGAAGTTTGAAATAAAATATCTGTTTAAAACTTTAAAATCAGCATAGAACAATCTTAATGCTGAAAATCAGATACCGCTTTATACAATTAGTTAACATTTTTGCAAAACATTTTAAATGCTTTTTTTTTGGTTCAAAAGTTTGCATTAATATTCCTTTTTATTTTGAATATAAAAGTATTTATATTTTTTATTTCATCCTTTATAACTAAGTCTTTTACTAAGTGGAAAATTATCAAGCGCTGTCAAACATAAACCTTCATCCAAAATTTGCAACCTTTGTCTTATGTTAGCATTTTCACTGACGATGCAAAATACTTCTTTCCACGATTCAAGTTTTTTTTTTTTTGCATATTTGTTTGTAAATATTCGTATCATGTTCTTGCAAGTACTTTATAATGGCAACACAGAGTGCCACTGCTAGTCTTACTTTTGGATGGCCAACAAGATTTAATGAATCGATAACTCCTTTAAAACTGATGTGTTCCATCACTATGTTTTTGCGAATTACCTCGACGTCACATTAAATCTAAATGACCATACTTTCCAACCATATTCTAAGCCCGAAAATTCCTTAAATTATATTCATACTGATTCAAACCACCCGCCAAATATTTTAAAACAGATTCCGCACAAGAGGAGAACAATAATGGAGCACCAAGTGAGGCACTGGCATTGTTTTGCCAAAAGATTCATGTCGTATATGGGAAAGAAATTTTTTTTTCCCATATACTTTAAATTCAGCGCTACCTAGAAACGGTTCAACTTCTGAACAAAACTCCTGTTAACAGAAGAGAAAGTGACAAATTCCGAAAAGATAAAAAAACCTTTGAAATGTTTGATATTTGCTTATGCACATGCTACGATAGAGGCATTGACAGCAAAGATTGTAAATGCAATATAAAAATAGCTGTTTTAGAATGGGAAAATTTTATTGGGCAGAAGAAGAGAACGAACCAATTAGGATTTATTGATAAAATTGTTTCAACAAAAACAAAAAGAATTTATGAAAGTCAACAAAAGTTAAAAGAGCGTGGAAAATAAGAAATGATTGGGACAACTTCCAGCGTTAATATTGAAACCACTTTTGAAGAAACTTCTTTTGAAATTAATAGCATTAGCTCAGAAGAAGAATTCCTTTCCAATGATAAAACGGCTATGAAACAAAATAGATTATGTTGTCCTAGACTTGCCACTACATCAGATCGTTACAGAGTTAGCAGTCAATTGAACGAATTAAACGAATTGTTTATTGAATGACCATTACAGTGGTTAATTTGTTTTTTGCATTTGAATTAATGGCTTTTTCGACATATTTTCTGAAATAGATAGTCCAACAAGCGGACCAACAAATCTTTGTTGTCTGATAAGAAACCTGCTACTTTAGGATTTGACTAAAAGGCCAATTGTTGATTTGCTTCCTGTTCAGGAAAACTTGGAATTGATTCCTCAGGGATTAGTAGTAGAAGATCAACGTTATTTATAAAAAATTTGTCATGCCATTTCTTCTGGACATGTTCTTCCAATGCTTCAGCATCGTTCTCCTGGGGCCTTTCCACAATACAAGACATTTGACATGAGCCAACAGAGTATTGCGTTTATATGCTTTGACTGTCAATCCTGAGGCGAAATTAGTTGATTTTGAACACATAATTGTCAATGTGTGTGCTCCTATTTGGTTTTAAATCAAAACACATCCATCTAAAATCATATTGCTCAAAGAATTTTTTGATCATCATCATTGCTCAAAAAAAATTTTTATTTGCAATAAGATTTCAACCAAAGATCCATATCAGAATACTATGAAGAAAGTTTTTAATACTTTTTTAAATTCTTTTTTTGCACATTCGGAAAACATTATTTTAAACATGTTAGCTGAATATTGGAAGCACGACTAAACAAAGAAGGTGAAAAACGGAATTTTAAACTACCGAAAACACTATGTAGATTTCAATATAAATTTAGATCCGCTCTAATATATACATATATATATATATATATATATATATATATATATATATATATATATATATATATATATATATATATATATATATATATATATTTGTGTGATTTAAAAAAAGGTCATGTCTGAAAAAAATAAGAGCTTTAGATCAAGCCCAGACCATGTTTTAGCACTAATAAAAACATTTTTTAAATTTTTTTTAAAACCTTAAAGAACCCTTCATAGTAGTGATCGACCGAAATTCGGTTCGGTTCCGGTTACGGTCATAAATTTGGCCGGAATCGAAATTCCTGTCTCGGTTCCGGCTAGATTTGAGATTTCAGTTTTGGCCGGAATTTCGGTTCTAAATGCTACCGAAAATAGATATTATAAAACTTTATTTTAAATAAATTATTTAGCATTGTAGCGTAAATATATTTTGATTAAAAAAATTTAAATAATTTTTTTGCTAGTTATTTCAACTTCTTATATTATTTTTTGCGTCCGATCGCGTTGTTACTTTTATCTGGTTTTTAATTATCATGTTTAAAATATCATGATCTACAAACTTAATGACGCTACAATGTTATCTACATTGTAGAGTCATATGTTTATGGACTTGATTATTTATTTATTTTAATTATCGCATGGAATTGGTAACGGTAAAATCTTTACGAACTTGGTGATTTTTTTTTAAATTATCACGTGGAATTTGTTTGAAATAAATTAAAAAGTTTTTATTGGTTTCATTCATTTTTTTAAAGCAAGTTGTTTTAATGTTTTCTCGTCGTTAAAACATTAAAACAATAATGTTTTCTTGTCGTTATAACTTTTTTAATGTTTTCTCGTTTAAATTGTTAATTGTCTTTTTAACGAACTTTTTAATGTATTGAACTTTTTAATGTAACGTAAGAAATTTTTCTTAAATATATATATATATATATATATATATATATATATATATATATATATATATATATATATATATATTGTTAAGTTAACAACAATATTAATACAAATTAATATAATTAATAATTAATATAATTAACAAAGAACTTGTTAATTATATTTTAAATCCTTGTTCTTGACTCTAACTAGCAACATTAAAAAACTCATCTGATTAAGTTCTTCGATTTCATTCTCATAAAATGAGCTCAAACCGAAAAACAAGTTTAGTGTGGAAGTACTTCATAATTGAAGCAAACAATCCAAGAATGGTTCAGTGCAAAATCTGCAACAAAGTTTCAAGAGGATCTGACGACCCAAAAAAACAAGGATTAAGTGGACTCACGTCACACCTGAAGAATCATCATCCTGACATCAAACTTACGCCCGAAAAAGCAGAAAATCCAAAGGCAAATGAAGAAGCTGACTTAAATTCCAACAAGAGAAAGGCAGTTACAATCTTCAACATGCGATCAAAAAAACAAAGATCCGACATGTTACAATCTACAATTCCAAACTGGGTTCAAGCTTCTTCAAAAATTGACTCTAATTCTGAAAAAGGCCAAAAATTTCACAAGTCAATTTTTGAAATGATGATTCTTGACCTCCAACCATGGTCTATTGTCAATGATGCTGGATTTTTGAGGCACCATGCTCTTATTGCTCCAAATTACGAAATTGCTAGCGAAAAATACTACAGAAGTTTACTGGATCCGACTTACGAAAAAATTAAAGTTGCTCTCAAGGAAAAGCTGGTTCAATCAGAAGCTGAAAATGTGTCTGTCTGCCTTGATGCATGGTCATCATTTCATCATGGCTATCTGGGAATGACTGTTCACTTTATTTCCAAAGACTGGAACCGTGTCAAATTCTGCATCTCTTGTTCTCCATTTGATGAAAGTCATACTGCAAAAAATATTTTCAAAGAGATCAAAGCAGCAGCAGAGGAATGGGAAATTTCTTCAAAAATTGGAGTTTGCTTAAGAGACAACACAGCAAATGTAAAAGCAGCCTTCAATGAGCCAAGCTGTAATTATAAGTCAGCTGGATGCCTTAACCACTCCCTTCAACTTGTGATAAAAAAAGACCTATTATCAGATCCTACCATCAACGAACTGATTGAAAAGAGTCGAAAACTTTGTTCTTACGCATCCCATTCTATTGGTTTCTACACTGAACTTTACAGACAGCAAGAAATCCAAATGGATAGAAAAGACAGACTTGGCTTAAAAAACGATGTTGCCACAAGATGGAACTCTACCTATTACATGCTTGAGCAAATTTTACACCTGAAACCAGCCATTGCTGCAACCTTACTCAAATTTCCTTCTGTGGGAATTGAATTTTCCGTCCAAGATTGGAGCCTCTATGAAAAAGTGGTGAGGATTTTAAGTGTTTTTGAGGAGGCAATTCCAATTGTGACAACAATAATTAAAGCTTTGGAAACAACCTCCGGCGACGTCAGTGTTCAGAAATTGAAAATAGCTATGAAAAATGCAATGGAAAAACGTTTTTCAGCAATTGAAAAAACAGAACATTATTCAGTTGCTACTTTACTTAATCCAAAATACAAATGGTATTTTTTCCGATCTCAAGCTGCTTTGCAAAATGCCAAACACATTGTCATGTCCCAAATGGAGAATTTTGAACCTCTTGAAGATGAATTGGCTCCTGTTACTCAAATTCCATCTGGTGACAATGAAAAAAACACGGCATTCTCGCACATAATGTCAAAAATTATTGCACAGTCTCAAACAGGACCAAATAAGCATTCATCTTCCAAAATGACGAGGGAAGTGTTGAAGGATTTTTTGGATTGTCCAATGGCTTCTCATTGCCTAGAATTTTGGAAAAACTATGAAAAAAATGCGACTAGCAAAATCAAGTTAGCATTGACTAAGGTGGCAAAAAAGTACCTCACACCACCCCCAACATCCACAGATGTTGAAAGATTGTTTTCTACGGCTGGAGATATTCTATCTAACGAAAGAAACAGACTCCTTCCAGAAAATTTGGAAAAACTCCTTTTTTGTCGAGAAAATCTTGCAGTTGTTGGATTCTGCTATTAATCATTTTTTATTAATTTAACTTTGTGTTTTAATTGGAATAAACTTGCAAACAAAAACTATTATTTATTTTCGGTTCCGGTTTCGGTTTCGGCTCTGGTTAGGGTTTACTTTCGGTTCCGGTTCCGGTTAGGAATATTTAAAATCTATTTTTGGTTCGGTTCCGGTTCCGGCAAAATTTCAGTGCCGGTCGATCACTACTTCATAGGGTAACGGGGCAATTTTTAGGGCGTTTTGTATTTTTAAAACAGTTTGTTGGTATACGAGTAAGTAAAGTATTAAAGTTAATATTTTTGAATTCTTTTATATTAAACTTATGTTTGTAAAGCAAATTTTTTAAATTTCATTTTATTTTGATTAAATACAAAGTTTGTATTTAATCAAAATAAAATAAGTTCTATTCACAAAAAAAAATTTTAACTTAATCAAAATATACTCTATTTATCAGGTCTTCAAGTAAATTAACTTCTCTTTCAGAGAAGTGGTTAAGTCCCTTGACTGATACTCTATATTCTAGAAAAAAATTGTTGAATTTCAAAAAATTTAGAGGAGTTTTCACTATTTCAATATCTGAGTTTCTGCCTTTTCATGCCTAAGCATGTCAAAAACTAGCCATAATTTGACTGTCGTTAATGAAGTCAAACTAGGAGGCTCATCTTTACTGAAATTTAGGCTATTCAATATAGCTTGGTCCATTATTTGGTGCTGCAAAGAAAAACATGGACATTATTGTAAACTGAACAGTTTCTCGGCCTTATCACCACGTTCCCTAAATTCTTTATCTGCTAAATTAAAAACTACGAAAGTGGAACTCAGATACCAAGTATGTCTAAGAATAAAGCTTTAAATAGTTTGAGCTAAAAAATACCATTCTTTAAACATTTTCATTTGGCAGTAAGCTTTCATATCCTAATATAAAATATTGAAGAATATTTTGAGCAATTTTAATCAATAATGAGCTTTGTAACTTTTTAATAAAATGGTTAAAGACACCATACCTGTGTTGGTGGCAAGGAACCTAGATCTGCTTTTAGAAACCACTATGTATAGAAAAGAAAAATAAATAAAACCATAGCAGTTATTTTTTCCTTGTGCTTGTCAGTGACAATTACAATTTATTCACTTAAAGACACAACTTTAAATAATATAAACCTTTTCCAATGAACCTTGAATAGCAATCCGGTCCTGCTAAGTAAAATTTAAACCTCAGGGACTATTCTAGGATAATAATTCTAGCGGCGGTACCCCCAGGCTGATGTGAGTAGTAAGGTTACATTCATGGAAACATTGCCAAATGAAGGCATTTTTTTGCAAACAAAAAAACAAAAATAAATACTTACCATTAAAAACATTAAAAAAAATTAAAATCCCCAATTTTTTGATTTGGGTGGCGCCCAAAACTTGCCTAAATTCGTCAAAATTGCTCAGTCAATACTTGTTTCCTTGTCTAATTCTTGTACCTAGCAGAACTTAGATAATCTAAATCATTTTTAAATATCTGCTGATAGATTTTTATTTAATTTTGATTTACTTCATTCACTTCTTCATACTGAACAATTAGGTATAAAAAAAGAACTTTTGCTACGAAAATTCAATTTTGCTCCACTATATGTAGAAAGAACTAATATTGAATTATCTCTTTAGCAGTTGCAAATTTTTTTGCCAGATGTTTTTCGAATAACATATTATCTAAAAATATTTTAACTAATCTGATACGTAAAATATTTATTTTTTGCTGTATTTTATTAATTTTTTAAATATTTGATACGAAAAAAAATTTGATGCAAAATATATTTCAAGAAAACATTATTTACTCAAAAAATTTTAAACTTTATTTTAAAAAATGTTCAGCGTAAGAATATTTTTATTTGTTAAATACTTATGTATTTGTTAAATACTTATGTATTTGTTAAATACTTATGTATTTGTTAAATACTTATGTACTTTTTAAATTTTTTTTTTTTTTTTCAAAATTTTAATATTAGGATTTCCTACAAAGACCTTTAAAAAATTATACAAAATGCCCTAAAGATGCCCTTTTGTGCTGGTATTCACCGTACCGAAGCTGGGAGGCTACTACAGTCAATGAGTTGTTACGACAGTAGAAAAAAGATTTTTTTTTTACCACACTGATTACTTTACAAAATAAATAAATTAAATATTTTCACGAAGAACTTAAAGCAATACAATGAAATATCATTTGATTGCTTGGTATTTTGGTTTAAGTATTTTTATGGGTACTACTAATAAACAAACAAATTGTATAATATACAAACAAACTTACTACGAAAAACAGATTATTTTGATAAAGTTTCAATACTTTATAATAAACTAATAATAATAAACAATAATAAACAATAATAGTTTATCGTAATAAATAATAAATACAAGAAAACAATAAATAAATAAAAAAACATAAAAAGATTATAAATATAAGAAAACAATAAATAAATATAATAAAAATTTGTAATGAATATAAAAAAACAAAGTAATAGCATGACTTAAGGCTTACAGTCTCTCGGGTCATAATTTCCGTAGCTTAACACATAACTATCTTCGCTCGAACCAATATTAACATTATAATACATGGTACTAAATGTAATACTGTCTTCGAAAAAATAGTCAACTCTCATATCTGTGAAAAATGTACTTGTTATTTGGTAAAGTTTTTTTAAACCAATCCATTGCTGATTAATTAGACCAAAACCATTTTCATAAGCATCGTAACTCCTATTCCAAAAACCTGAATCCCAATTGAAAAAACGAGCCATCATTGGAATCCAGATTCCTTTGGGAAAAAAAGTTTATATACTTAAAGAAACTTTTTTTTCTTATATATTATATTTTTAATTATACTTTGGATTTAACATTTTATTTTAAATATACTTTTTAATATTTCATTTTAAATTATATATTTCAAATTATTACAACAATATAAAAAGTTAGTAACCTAACCACAGCTAATAATTATAAAAACAAAAGTAACAAAATTACTTGTTCAAGCATGTTGAAATTTAATTTTTATAAGTACCAATATTTTAAAGCTTGGACAATCTCTATATCAAAAAAATATAATTTTGCACCATCATTGAAGTAAAATAACTTTTTAAAACAAAAATAAAGTGTTTTAATTGATAATAATTTTTTTTTCCTTTTTTTATTAAATTTACCTTCCCAAGGCTCCAGAGGGGCCATGCAGTCAAGAAAAATGTTATTTATTTTCTAAGGCCGAAAATGCTACTTTATTGTGGAAGGCTACTTGTTTAAGGCTACTACTTAAAAACAAAGTTAAACAAGAACTGGTTTATCAAAATTAAGCTAACGAGAACTGGTTATACATTTTTGAAATGGGTTTCTTTAATATAAAGAACTTATTCAAAAATTTTGAAGGAAAAAATTTTGGTTTAAAATAAAATATGCAAATATTAGTATTTTTGATGATTTCTTTAAATTACTACTGTTAAAATTTTTTTAATTTTATTTTAATAAAATTTTCATTAAATTTTTACTTTTTAAATTCAGCTAATCTTTTCTTTTAAACTAATATATAAAGAATGGCTGCTTGTAAACCAACTTATAGTATGATTGGTTGTAAACCATCTTAAAGAATTGTTGCTTGCAAGCCACCACTTTTTAAGCTGGGAGTTACCGGAAAACAAAAAATATTATTAAAGAAAAATTAAAAAATTGATAGAAAACTTATAAAACTGTAAATTTTAAGAGTAAAGAAAACATAAAGATGGTAGAGGGTTCCAAAGCATTAATGGCTGTTTAAACTTTTTTTTGTTTAAAAATAAGAATTACTTACCACTTTTTCCACTTGTAATTTTAAGATCTTTAATAGAGCCATCTTGCACGTCATGCCATGGATCGGCAGTATAAACTTTAACATTTGAAAAAGATTGTGGGTTTTTATTTACAACGCTATGAACAAGGGACTCATTTAAATACACTGTATACATATAAATTCCATTCATTTGAAACTGTGATATTTGTAAACTTGACCACTGTTTTAACGGCAGAGGCTGGGTTGTAAAAATATAATTGTGATTTCCATTGACAGCTGCAGAAATATATAACCTTCCTGAGCCATCACCATGAAACCATACAGCGGGGCATCTACAACCGTATTGACCCCAATTGTCTCCAATTGTTAAATGAATAACGCTTTTCCACCCTTGTGAATATGATCTGGGCTTTAATTTAAAAGAAACTGAATAGGTTTTTTCTATAAGGGATAGTGTTGCATTCAAGTTACCATAAATCAATTTCTGCTCAACAGGGTCTGAAGTTTCTACTAAAAAAAAAAAGTTAAAAAAAAAAGTAATTTAAAAATGTTGTTTTTAAATTACTTTTTTTTATAAAAATAAAAGATGATGCAAGTTATTTTATAATGAATTTTATTATAAACATAGTGTTCTTTATAAAATTCACTGTCAAACTCAGGATCAATTTTATCTAATAAGACCAAAAACTATTTATATGGAAGCCTTATGAGTACGTTTAGAGAAAACCTTTTTTATTTTACTAAGTCAAGTATTTGCAGTTTAAACACTAATTGCAGTTTAAACACTAATTGATCCTCCCTAATTGATGGGGTAGTGAATTTGACACTAAGGATATGACAAAAAAAGGCCTCTGCAAGCATTGCCCCCACATTCTTCAATAGGGTCCCATGCTGAAATAGGTCCCATAGACTCCACATCCTAAAATAGGGTTCTATTCTAAAATAGGTCCCATGCTGGAGCTTTCCACGAAACCCTACCCCCTCTCCCCCCCCCAATCCTATCTTAATGGTTGTGCATTAAAAAACATTTTTTTTTTACTTTAGCTGATAAAAAAGGGAGAAAATCACAAAAAGCATTTAAATTTTTAAGAAAAAACTGCTTTTATTTTCAAAATCTAAACCATTTTTGTATTTATTTAGAGATTGTTTTAAAAAGGATGAGACTTAAAATGCTTTAAAGTTAAAACTATTAATTTTTAAAAATATTTTTATTATCTAAAAAAAAAGTTATTAACTAAAATAAACAATTTTAATAAAACTTTAAATTATCTTTTGCATCGCATTATTTTATTCATAAAACTTTGCTTAATATTTATTATGCTATCTTTCACTCTTTTCTCAGATATGATTGTCAAGTTTTAGCACAATCTAAGCAGCTTGCAAAACTAGTTGCTAGATTAAGAGTCAACTGTCCAATTAATGAGAGTTTCTTCAAAATTTAAATTTTGGGAGCTAAAATGGAAAAACGCAATTAAAAAGCAACAAGACTTACCTGAATGTGCACTGGAAGCATACAAGCAATGTAATGGTAATGTCTTTTCTTTAATTAAATGTATTTTTTAACTGTTTTGCACCCTTCCTGTTAGCGTTGCTTGGGGAGATCGGAGATTCTCAGTTTCAAAATTCAAAATTCAAAAAAGTTTCAAAAGTTTCAAAACTCAAAACTTGGTTAAGATCCAATATTTATTGTAGTTTGTTAAATTTATAAAAGTCTTTATTAAAAAAAAGAATATACTAAAGATATTATTTTGTCTTTTGTTGCACATTACAGACAGGGCCAGATTTATCTATAGGCAAACCATTACTTATATACAGATACATTTAGTATATTTATTGGCAAACTTTTCAAAAATATTCTAAACAATCAAATAAAAAAGTGATTTATCTAAAAAAAAAAAAGCAGACCAATAAAAAAAAGTTTTCTTTTGTTAATCAAATTACCTTCCGAATTTAGGACAATGACCTGGATCCGCCACTACAAATGTGTATAAACTTTTTTTTAATAGAAAACTTGTATTTTCTTTTTTTTTACATTAACACAATTTTTTTAATTTACACAATGTAATATATAATACTGAAATTTAACTTTAAAACTAATATATTTCTTAAAAAAAAATAGAACTGACTTTGACATGTCAAAAATTTTTAAAAAGTTAGTAACTTTTAAATAATAAATGCGGTATTTTTGTAGTGTAATAATATTATGTGGTATTGGTGTCAATATTATTTATTGTGCGGTAATAAAGTAACAATGTTAAGTGGTAGTGGTGTAGTGGTAGAGCGCTTGCTTCATTAGCAAGAGGTTCCAAGGTCAATTCTCACCATGTCACCATGTCCATGGTAGTACCGCGCTCATTTTGTTTCTTCGCATATCGGCCTTGTTTGTCAAGCTTCGTGTTTCAGAGTTATAAAGCTGAGAGAAAAGATTATAACCACAAATAGTGGCCTTCTCGGCCTAGGGGAGGTGAACTACAAATATATATATATATATATATATATATATATATATATATATATATATAAATATATATATATATATATATATATATATATATATATATATATATATATATATATATATATATATATATATATATATATATATATATATATATGAACAATGAAATTAAAATCATTTACTCACTACCATTTTCATTTAAAATCCTTAGATCCTTTATGAAACCATCTTTAAATTCACTATGCCAAGAATCTGCAGAATAAACATAAACATTTGAAAAGGATTGGGGATTTGTATTTACAGTGCTATAAACAACAGCTTCATTTATACGTATGTTATATTCATATACTCCATTTTGTTGGACTTGTGATATTTTTATAGTTGACCACTCATATAGTGGAAGTTGATAAGTGGTTATACAATAGTTTTTTTCAAAATTTACAGCAGAACAAATGATCAACTTTCCTAAATTAATCCAAACAGCAGGACATCTGTCACCATATTGCTCATTATTGCCCCCAATAGTTAAATGAATAACATTTTCGAATAACGTTGAATATAATTGAAGGTATAACTTGAAAGAAACAGAGTACGTCTTTTCTAAAGATGTCAATGTTGCAAGCAAATTATCCCATGTCAACTGTCGTTCATTGACTAACAATAAAAGTATAATATATATAACAATACAAAATAAAACGAAAGTGGTTTTTTTAATTTAAAATTAAAAGGGTTTTTTTAATTTAAAATTAAAAAGGAAATCTATATAATATAATTGAACTCAATTAAAAAAATATATACATTTAGGTCGGCATTTAGATTGGTATTTCCAAATTCCAACTCTAATTTCGAGGACTGATATATATATATACATATATATATATATATATATATATATATATATATATATATATATATATATATATATATATATATATATATATATATATATATATATATATATATATATATACATATATATATATATATATATATATATATATATATATATATATATATATATATATACATATATATATATACACACACATATATATATATATATATTATATATATATATATATATATACATATATACATATATACATATATATATATAAGTTTATAAACAAAGAAAATACATTTTTTTATGGTACTAGTTGGTACTAATTTTATAGTACTGACATGCCTAAGAGCAACCATCAGCCATGTAATACCATGTATTACATGGCTAATGATAGCAAATGTTAATTTTTCAATCAACTTGATATATGGTTTTTAAGAAAGATTGAAAATAAGTGTTAATCCTAGAAGTTAAAGAGTAGATGACTCATCGAGTACATTACTATTCATAAAAAAAACAAACCATATCAATTCTGTGACGGTTTAAAAAAATGCAAGGTTTAAAAAAATGCAGTGGTGAGGCGGTGAGGTGTACTCTTTTTTAAACCTATTATCAACTTTTAAAATTTTTTGTAAAAAGCGTTTGCCTTAACTCCTCACCACTACGTTTTTTTAAACCTCGGAGACAGCTGAACTTAAATTAGTCATCTAAAGCACAAATAGGTGAATTTTTGCAATTCACCTATTTGTTTAACTTTGCAAGCGTTAAGACTCAACAGATGAAATATTATTTCGAAGGCCACGAATATTAGTAAAAGATAGATTTAGAGTTAAGTATACGCAAAGTATTACATAGAGGTTTTCATAGAGGGACAATATATACTTGTTACATTAAAATCATATAACTATATTTTACAAACAGATTGCAATTTATTTTTTATTTTTTCAACACAAAAAACAAATAAAATATAGGAAAATCATTCTTTTTAATGTCCACTTGAATTTTTTTTATTTTTTTATTATTTTTTTTTGGCTTTGCCTAATCTAATTTTGTTGCTGAAGATAAAGAAACAAAAACATAAACAGTACAAGTTATTTAAATTAATAATTTATTTTTATTTTTTTATTTAAATTTATTTTAATTTCCTAATTTATTAGTTAGTTAGTTAGTAGTAAACGCTGTAACTGGCAGAGCCAGCGAGTGTGTTATCAGGCACACTTTGACAGCCGAAATGATCGATTGCTGCTCATCCAGCAATCAATTGCTGCTTTAAAGTTATTAATTGAAAGCGATTTAACAATTTCTTCTGGCAGAGAGTTCCATAAATTCGCTACTCGATTAAAGAAGAAGTTTTCTCTGTGCTTATGTTTGGTCATTTCCTTAGAAATTTTAAAGCAGTGACCTCGTGTACGATTGTTAACTATTGGAAAACGAATGCCTTTTTCTAGTTTATCAATATTATTCATAATTTTATATATTTGTATCAAATCTCCTCTTTGTCTCCTTTCCACTAGAGTAGTTAAGTTTAACTCTTCGATTCTATTTGTATAGGAAAGATTTCTAATTGATGATAATAGTTTAGTAGCTTTGTGCTGGATTCTTTCGATATAGTCACAATCTGATTTAAGAAATGGAGACCAAACCGGAACTGCAAACTCCAGTAATGGACGAACAAAAGTAATATAAAGCATACGAAGTAACTTATAATCGAAACAAACAAATGATTTTTTGATACGACCAAGCATTTGATTTGCTTTGTTAGAAGCATTAATCACTTGATTTTTCCATTTTAGGTTTGTATTAAAAAGTACTCCCAGATCTCTTTCTGTATCTGACTCCGTTAATTGAATACTGTTTAAATTATATAAATACTTTTTGTTATTGTGGCCATAATGCATAACTACACATTTTGATATGTTAAACAGAAGAAGCCAAGTTTGAGACCATTTGTAGACAGTATCTAGATCATTTTGAAGATTAGTAGCGCATAGCTCTGATGATAATTGAGACAGCAGTTTTGTATCATCAGCATATAGTTTGGTTACATTAAGCAATTCTTTTGGAAGGTCGTTAATGTATAAAACAAACAAAAGTGCTGCAATTACCGAACCTTGTGGTACACCACTAAAATTCTTAACCCAGTCAGAAATGATATTACCTTGAACAACTCTTTGTCTTCTGTTTTCTAAGAAAGCTGCAATCCATTTAAGTAGCAGACCATCAAAGCCGTATGCTTTTAGTTTGGCTAACAGTCTCCTGTGCGGAACTGTATCAAAGGCTTTAGCAAAATCTAATAAAACTACATCAACTGGAATACCAACATCTAAGCTTGATGAAATGTAGTCAATGCTTTCTAAAAGATTAGTGGTACAAGATTTGTTTCTAACGAAACCATGTTGCTCTTTTGCTAGCAGATTATTTTTATACAGGTACTCTTCCATTTTAGCTCTAATAATACTTTCCATAATTTTACATGGAACAGAAGTCAATGAAACTGGACAATAATTGCAGGGAAGAGTCTTATCACCTTTTTTAAATAGGGGCGTTACGTTTGCTGATTTAAATTGAACTGGAAGTTGACTATTAGTTAAAGATGTTCTAAAAATTAATGTTAGAGGAATTGCAAATGCTTCAGCACAGTTTTTGAGCAGAAATGGATGCATATTATCAGGACCACATGCTTTATTTTGATTAAGATTTTTTAATTTATCTAATATCATTTTGTAGCTGATATCATTTGGATGTAGATCAACAAACTTTGAGTGATTTTCATTAAATTCAACTGTAAAATGTGGAAGATCCCCTTCCTTTTCATTTACGAAAACATCTTGGAAACATTTATTGAGAAGATTAGCTATCTCTCTAGGTTCCTGAGTTAGATTACCATTAGTTATTTTTAAGGCTCTGATTGATTCTTTGACTAGTTGTTGGCTGTTTAGGTATTTATACAGAAGTTTCGGATTCGATTTGGATCTTTTAACTAAATCATTTTCATATGCAAGACGAGCTATTTTAATTTCTTTTTTAACTAACTTGCAAGTCAATTTGTACTCTTTACACAAAGTAAGATCTTTCCATATACAAGCACAGTTCAGGTATCTTAGATTTTGCTTTTTTTTAATTAGAGTTTTAAGATCATTTTTTATCCATGGAGCGATTTGTTTTTTTATTCGAGATACATCAAGCACTGGAATGAATTGATTACATGCTACATTTGAAAAGTGAATTAGTTTGTCATACATTTCTTGTACAGATAAGGTTTCAAAGAGCATTACCCAATCAACATTTGTAATAAAGTCAGAGATTTTATTGGTGTCAGCTTTTTTGTAATTAAACTTTAAGTGGCTGTGCGATAAGTTATTAACCTTATTTTTAATAATAAAATCGAAAAAGATGACCATATGACCTTTATTTATGTTACCGAGGACAGATCTTGGATCAATAGCGCAGATGCTTCCCGGCTGAGTTGTGAAGATTAGATCAAGAGTGTTAGTAGCAGAATTATTTGATATTTGAAATGTTGGAACATTAACATGCTGATACAGAAATGTTTTGCTAAGAGTTTCACTAAAGCTATGTTCAATGCCATTTTCCTTTTTAATGTTTGTGTGTAACCATTTGACCATACGATTGATGGGAAATTAAAATCCCCTGTAATTAATAAGTCTTTGTATCCTTTTCTATCAACATAGTGTTTAGTCTTTTTGATAACCAAATCAAAATCGTTCATATCAACAAAATCGTTAGGTCTGTAGATACAACCAACTAAATACTTGTTGTTTTCAAAATATACTGTAGCCCAAATTTGTTCAATTTTACTCAAGTTAAAAACAGCATCGCTTAGCTCTACTGATTTAATACTTTCATTAATATATAAACACACACCACCTCCTCTGCGCCCATCATTTCTGTCTCTTCTATACAGATTATAGCCATTTAGATTTACAACTGAGATGCTATTAAACCATGTTTCACTAATAGCTATTATTTGTGGGTGGTACCTGTCTACTAATACCTTAAATTCATCGAATTTATTTTCTAAAGAGGTCGCATTTAAATAAATACATTTCAAAGCATTTAGTCCATTCAAAGATAGTGGCTGAAATGATTTTGTTAATTTAGTACTGGTGAGCTTTAATTTTGACAATCTGATTTCCACGAATGCCATATCGAAAGGGCGAGTCTTCAGCAAGTGTACTGTTTGCTTTGTTTCTTTTCTTTCTTAAATCGTAATCAAGTCTCCTTTGTGCTTCAGTTAAATCTGGACTTATGTAAATTGATTTGTAAACTTCTTTCTCTCTCAAATTTTTTGCTGCGAGAAGAAGTGGATTTCGTAATGAAGCATCACTTAGTTCAACAATTATTGGACCGGGTTTGTTTGTGTCTTTAGATTTAAGCCTTCTTGCATAAACTGGGGAAACATTGCTTTTTCCAACTACATTAAAAATCTCTTTGATTTTTTCGCCATCGTCTGCTTTTTTTTCTGCTAAAAATTCCATTTCGGATTCAGGTATTCCATAAATAATTACATTTTTTTTTCTTCTTTCTCTTTCATTTAACTCACTTATAGTTGCATTTGCTACAGCTAATTGGTCAGCTGGTTTTTTAGCATTTTTAGCACCTTGCTTTATTACTTGAACCCAATTGCTGCTGATGTTTGAAGTATTTACTACCTTTTTTGCTGATTCCAAATCTACTTTGAGTTTTGCTATTTCTTTACTTTTTTCATTTTCGTTGCGTTCAAGAAGATTGATTCGATCAGCGAAAGTCATGAGAATCTTTGATATATTCCCACACCACTCATGTAGCTGCT